AAAAGGGAAAGATAGATGGATCTGACTATATACAATTTAAACTTTCTGTACAATAAAAAGCATTAAAAACAAAGAAGACAGAAAATATTTGCAATATACATAGTAGGCACTATAACTTAGTCATATTTAGAGGGCTTTTACGAATCACTAAGTAAAATACTTAGAATGGACAAGGTATGTGAACAGGTAATTCACAGGTGACAAAATATAAGTAGCTAGTAATATGAAAAGATGTTTAGCCTCTCTAGCAGTTAATATAAACTAAAATAATAAGATATTTTGACCATCAGATTGAACAAAAACAGGTATTTGAAGTTTATAATAACCATGGTTGCAGAGAGTATAGAAGAATGAGTATTTTCATACAATGTTGATGGGAATTCAAATGGCATGGCCTAGTTGGGAGGCAATTTGGTATTACCTACCAGTATCTAAGAAATGCCTGTCAATCTCTAAAAATACCTGCCAGTCGTAACATCTCCCTCCAGAGAATAAATGGAACTTAATAGCAGGCTTCCCTTGTGCAAAAAAAACTGAGATTCTCATCAGTATTAATGGGAGTAAAAACAGCTTTACTAATATTTATCAAAAGTTTGAAAATTTCATACAATCTGACCCAGTAAATTCCATTACTGGTAATTTGTCATGAGGAAATTATCCTATGATAAAACCTTTATACATAAATATGTTCCCTAGCATTATCAACCTTGCTAGCAAAAAATTTTAATGTATTCAAAAGTCCAAAATGGGAATAAATTAAATAATCCTTGGAAAATCTGCTCAATAGACTACAATTTGAAAATGATATTTATGAAGATAAGTGTTATTAACATAGAAAGTGTTTTTGAGATTATATTTGCAAAAAGGTCAGGGTGCTAAATTAATATGAATTATCATATTAAGCTCCTTTCTATATAAGCCCCAAGGTCCTCTATCCCCATCTGTGTATTTGCCCATTCCCCGCCCTCCTCTGCAGGGTTTCTCTTGTGTCTCTATGAGTTTGTCTACTGCAGCCTGCCTTTCCATTGTTTCCTGGCTTCTACATTTTTTCAGCATCTGGTCCTTCCCTCCTTACCTCCCTCCCGCAGGCTTCACTCCACTCAGGCACTACCCTTCTTCTTCCCCAAGGCTTCAGGAATACAGGTGGTTGTCTATACTAGATACTGAAGGGGTAGAGATAACAGAGGGGAATTTGAACATAGTTCTGAAAAGAGCATCAAAATGAATGTACATTACTGTTGCTGGAACAAATTCTCTTCTCTCTGTGGTATTCTGGTGCCAACTATTAAAATAGTACTGTGCTTTCCTCTCCTTCTAAAAAAATAATATGCATCTTTGAACTAAGGAACTATATGGTGGTTTTAATCTCACATGTCTACTGTGGTTGATGGGGCTGCCAAGAGCTCTGTCTGCTGGGCCTGGAGGAATAGCGCTGGCATCTGCATGGCCCAGGGAGGCCGCCAGTCGGCCACCTTAGTCAGGAGCATCAAACCTTGATAGCAAACCTGGTGATCAAATAGGATTATAGGCTGAGCCCGTTTCCACAGGCAAGAGAGGAAATTAAATTCTGCAGTCTCCGAATAGGAACAGCTTTTGCTGTCCCAGAAGCACGTTGGACAAAATTGTGCTTCCTGCAAATGGTGCTGCTCTCACGTCCGTGCGCTGGAAGAAAGATGACTCCTGGGGCTGCGTGCCCTGGTCAGCCATGTCCACAGGAAGAGCAGGAAATGACCCCGAGCTGCTCACCGCAGTTTACAGCCGGAGGGGAAAGCGGCCAGTGTCTTCAGGATTATTTAATGGGAGCTGCAATCTTATTAAGCTCCTGTTAATAAGCACCGCTTCCTTATTTATCAGCATAATGCGGTCTGGGATTAGAGAGAGAGCCTAGTCTTTAGCTTTCAGGAAATAAACTATTTTTTTTCTGTCTTACCCCACAGCTGTGAACTCAAGATTAACCATTTTTACTGTCACAGTATTGACCTTAACTGTTATGTACCAAGTTCATATCTGAGTGTTTAATTATGTCCCAATTCTTGATTTTTAAAATTGTTGCCAGGTAATTAATAGGAAAACCATAATTACAAATATCAAACGTCCTTTCCAAATAGTGGCTCAAGCTCTTTTGAGAAGAAAAATTCTGGCCTTATTTTTCTTTGTGGTAGAAACTTGTCTCTTTGAATTTTAGATGATTTAATTGATTGGATCCATCAAATTTTCCATCAGAATTTCTAGAATGACCCTTACCCTCTTAGGTAGAGACATGCAGAATGTCTCTCTTCTCCCCTGAAAATCTCTTCTTCTTTTTTAAAAAAAATATTTTTATTGATTTCAGAGAGGAAGAGAGAGGGAGAGAGAGAATCATTGATCAGCTGCCTCCAGCACAGCCTACATTGGGGATCGAGCCCACAACCTGGGCATATGGCCTGACCAGAAATGAACCCTAACCTCCTGGTTCATAGGTTGACGGTCAACCACTGAGCCACGACAGACAGACAGCCAGAATCCCTTCTTATTCAGTGTCAGAGACTGATTTGGGACACAGTGCAACTCAGAGAGATCCCCCTTTTACCCAAATATTAGGCCCCCATGAGCAGAGTCCTTGCAGAGCTGAAGCTGCCATTAAACACCCAGGGAAGCAGCTAGAGGAGGGGGCCTTGTAGGCAGGTGGCCACCCCAGTTCATGTGTTCAGCGCTGTACTGAGTGGTGAAGCAGATGACAAAATAGAGAAGATACTTTCTGCAGCTCCTTTGGGAAAGTGGTAACGTGAGCTTCCTGAAGACCACCAGGCATGGGATAGAGCTCTGGTCAGGAAAGAGAGCTCAGAATCCTGGTGTGGGGCCTGGAACTGGTTACTGTCCTGCTGGGGAAAGCCCACTCTATGCAATTTTGTGTTGGGCAGGTGGTTGGCAAAGCCTCCCTGGCCAGCCAGAGTTTTTCCTTTTAGTGAAGCTTGACTAAGAATGTTCATAAGCATTACCCCGTGCTTTTTATATATTTATTTTAAAAACTAGAATATTCAAATTGTTCTCTTGCTTCTGTGACATGTCTTCCTAGGAAGGTGGGAGATAAATGGGTCCAGCAACGCACTTGGACCAGATAAAGGGAGGAAGTCTTTTCCATGCTGGGGGCTTAGCTGGGCTCAGCCGTCTTGGAATGCCTCTGGGTGAGATCACCAGGCCCCTGAAAGCCTCGGTAGGGCCACAGAGACCACCTCCACATTTTCTCAAACATGCAGCCTCTGTATTTGACAGGCCCCAATAATAAAAGCTAATTCAAACAATAAAATATTTATTGGCCACCGAATATGTGCTCAGCACTGAACGGGGTGCTGAAAAATTATATATTATAAAGTTATAATGCCTATCATATTTAGCAGCAAAAAATCGATGAGTAGCCCATTATTATTACACATTATATACATGAAGAAACTGAAGCAAAATAAGGTTAGAAAAAAAACCTCCCTAAGATCATGCAGCTGATAGAGCAGAGATTGATTGTACTAGTCAATGGCAGGCCCTGAGCTTGAGGAAGACACTAGAATGTCCTTCCCTGTCATTTTAGGACTTCTGAGATTCTGAACCTGGAGGATATAATGGTTTATTTTCCAGACTATGGTGATAGGGAAAATTTGGATTAATTAGCTGCATATTCTGTCTTCTAATTTTGTCCCAGTCCATACATTTAGGTTTGGGTTTGTGACAAGATTTCTATTATAACTGTGAGGGCCTTTCTCTAGGTATAGGAGGCATTTCCACACCACTGTTTCAAACAGTACTCAAATGTACTTTTATTTACTTCACTATCTGTTTGTTCATCTGAGCACGGAGTATTTTATCTGGATCAGGTTCATCTGATAATTCCAGAGTGATTTTTCCACCCCTACATGCTCCAAATCCCTTGCGTTAGGAGTTTTATTTTTCTGTCACCGGTTTGTTGGCTCATTTTTCTCAGAACTTTGTTCCTCAGAGCAAGAATGACTCATACCCGTGCTAAGTCAGCAGGGTGGCCAGGAGAGAGGGAAATGGAGTCCAACCTGGAGTTTATCCATGTTAGGGATGATGGTTCAGAGAGAAATGCTGTCGGACAAAAGATGAATTGGTGGCCAAGGCATAAAAACCACAGGGTTCAGACAATTAGAACAAGGCATGATGAGAGCTGGCCTGGAGGTGAGCCAGGCACAATGAAGCTCCAATGCCCGTTCTCTCTCATAGCACCTGTTCTTCATTTTCATTGTATTTACTACAATATATCACTGAGTTTGTGGAAATTTGCTACAGCAACTTTAGGAAACTAATACAGTGAGTGATCTGGTAAATGTGTCATTTCTATATACTGCAGGAATAAATTTACTTTTCTGTGGAAATTGTCATACATGTTGGTGGGTGTTTAATTTGGAACAAGCTCCTTTGTGGAAATTAGTTTGACTTTCTTTAGTAAAACAGAAGCTAAGCATATCTCACGACCCCATAAACAAACCCTAGTGTACGTGTATACCAGGACATGTGTATAAGAATGTATTTAAAAAAACAACACACCCACAGAATTCAAGTGAAGACCCAGTTGACTTTATTAGATGACATATGAATTGGGCAGCAAGTAGAAAGGCGCTATGAAGAGTTGAACAAAATGGAAAGGTTTTATAGACAGAAAGAGGGTGGAGCAATGGAGCTTTTGCAAAATAAAAGAAAGGATTGTTTCAGGCCAGGTCATCTTTTATTTGAGGGGAAAGGGAGTGGCAGGGGTCTCATGAAAATTATCTTACTAGTGCTAATCAGGATACTTTTGATTAACTGCTTGAAGTTCACATTCCTAGAGGAGGATCTGGCAATTAGGTCTTGGTTTGCTGTCATGGGGGCAAATGACTCCATTTTGGGCTTATTCTTCTTTTTAACA